GTGCATTCAAACAGGGCTGCGTTTCCCAAAAGTATCATAAGAAAGCATTAAAGCTTTTGGGAATGGCAGCCCTGAACAATGCTTATCAGAGGACAGAAAACAAAACATAAATGTTTGAGTTATTTCACAATAAACAAATTGAAATTGTAGCCTACATAGTTTGTGCAATTACAATTATTTAAATTGAACGTTGAAAGATAATATTGATCATGTAAAGATTGCATTTTATGCATGCAACAGCCATTCACTGGCAGTCCCTAATGGCAGTACAAAATTTTGCACTAAATCAAAAGTTCAAATGTTACAAATAAGTTAGAATATTAATGTTGTAATACTGGTAGCACTAATATAAAAATGTGATGATATATGTTACAAAAAAGTAACAATTTTGAAATACGTTGATGGTTGTATTTTTTTGTATTTGATCTCAGTATTCCTATCAATGTTCAAAGGGTTTTTTATGCATAATAGTAACCCTAGAATGTGATCAAACAGTTTAAAACAGCTGGGCTAAGATATATAACAATTTTTAAGACTGCAGAAATATGTTAATTCAGTATATACATTATCCCACCGGTTACAATTGTGACTGACCATAAAATAAAATTTTTCACACACTTTTCCCAACAAAAAAATAATAATAAAAATGATTGATTATTTAAATGAGGGTTAAAATGCGTTTTAAACATAAAGTTAAGTGGTTTTCATTACCCACTTTATTCTTAGTAATTTAATAATTTCATACATTTCATAATTTCAAAGTTTAGTGCAGAAGTATCGAATCGGTATCGACGATACTGCCTTGAAAAATATCGGTATCGTATCGAAAATAAAATAAGGGGTATAGCCCATCCCTAAGTGACAGTGATGCTTCATTAAGCCCTAATGATAATGTTAATTAGTGGTTTCTCACCCACAACTAATGAGAAGTCAAATATATGCATCAGCCAATGAGGAACGAGGAAGATGTGTCCCATGCGTTTACAGTGTACATTGTATGCACACATTGCACATGCACAATTATTTTTATATACTAATGATACTGTATATTCTATGTATATCTAAGCATATTATATCACAAATATGATAGTACCTTAAAAGTTATTAATGTAATTGCATACTATGAATAAAGTGAACAAAATGCCTACATGAGAATAGGATTCATTGTTCTGCTATTGTTCTTGAGTTAACGCTATGCTGACATCTACTGGATGAATACGAACATCAAGACCAACGCGTCTATTGTTGGATGGCAGCAATTTAGATGTTCAACAATTAGCATGTTTTTACACCTTTTTCAAAAGGAACGTGAGATGAGCAAAAAAAAAACTCACTCGTTTCTCTTCCAACGCAGAGTTGTTTTTATGGACTTAACAGTCGTGATTGTTTGTCCAGTTTTACCACATTTATCTGAAAAGAGGAGGCAAACAAGGCACGTGCGCCACGCTGTGTTTATGGCGTCTTCCAACAGCCGGTTTAACCACTGATGGCCACTAGAGGATGTTTATTAAAATAATTAATATCGCGAATGGATATAACTAAATTGAAGCCAGTTAACGTATTTGTGCAAAATAATTTACACACATTCATTCCCCAAACGTGAATTCTCAAAACCTACCTTGCTAACAAATAGCTAAATACGAACTACAACTACCACAAGGACGTGAGTTTATTTGCTTGACGCATGTGACATCGGTTGTAGTCCATATACAGCAGCTTGCAAATGTACCCTAAAATGTAATTATTTTGCGCATTTTTTAAAATAAACTTAGCTTATAAACTTTAACAAATAACATTTGACACTGTACTCTTTTAAATTCATGCTATTTCTATATCAACATGATTCAAACATTTGTTGATTTTAGGTAAAAACTTTAATAGCAGGATTTTAAATTTACTCTAACTGGTAGTTTCAAACTTTCTGACATGTAAAACTTGGTATAGGAAGACAAACTGAGAAGCACTTTGTTTGGTGATGTTTTCGATGTTTACTAATATACAAATGAAAATAGCAATGCAAACTTGTAGCAAAATACTAAGAATACTAAGATAGAAGGAAAGACAAAGACATTTTAAAATCAAACACAGTCACAAAAATAGATGTGTAAACATTGTCAAATGGAAATGAAATATGTGTGGACAACCAAGTGTATAAACAAACTCTGACGTTCAAACATGTCTATATGTGATAATGTAGTGCAGGTGTTGACATGGAAAAAATGACTAGCAAAACATGTTCTGTATTAAATAACTAAATAAATATGTCTTATTTCTGAATAACTGACTGGAAAGTCATCAAAAAATTCACCTTATCCTGCTACCATATATTTATTTTACAATACCATTTCATTAGTTGATTGTGAGTATTTTGTAAGGCAAACCAAGAGGGTAAATACAAACAAAGTTTTTATATTCTACACTCCCAAACAAACTTCATGTGCACCATTAAAACCACCCCTTTAAGGAAATGCACTCAAACTATATTAAGATTGTTTCTTAAAAGTGGATTTCGCCAAAGTGTTGACAGCCTTGTTTTTGCCTACAGGCCTAAATTCATCCAGCCCAGTGCCAGCACCAAGACAGCGGCAACGCTGAGAGACTCCGGGCCAAGAGAGGCTTTACCTAAACATAATACAAAACAAAGAGAAAGATCAGCAGGAATACCATCTGTGGAACTGCATCTATGCATCTATGAATATGTGAAAGGTATTTTCAATTCTTATAGTGAACATTTACTTTAAATTATGCAGAACTTCAGATACCATTTTGTCATTATCATCAACATGATTAGGGTAGGAAAATGATGAATGATTAATAAAAGACCGTATGCACCTTGTACTCTGATCTGTGATATGGGTCCATCACCTCCCTCACAGCGGGCTCGCACCTCTATGACGTAATCGCCCGTCTCTGGCATGGGAAAGTCGATGTAGTGCCTGCCTGTGGTGTAAAGCTTCCCATAACGCTCTCCTTCCTTCCGGAACAAAATCTGAGAGGAGAAAAATCTAAATGGTTATACATATTTCCAAAACATCAATGCACACACACACACACACACACAATCCCACACACACACAAAATAATTAAATAAATACATAAATGATCAATTAAAATAAGGATATTAAAATTAAATTAAATTAAATAGTAATAAAATAATATTAAATAAAAATAGCATAAATAATAAAATAATATATAGCATAAGGATGAATTAAAATAAAGGCATTAAAAAGGTTCCAATAATAAAATAAAATAAAAAAGGATATTTAAAAAAATCATAAATAAACTTTAAGATTAAGATTAACAAGCCATTAATGAATGTGTCTCTCAAGTCTTTTGTCAACAGAATACAAAGTAAAATACAACTGACTCACCTTGTATCCCTCCACATAGGACTCATTCCAGTAGTTATAGATGTGATCCCAATACAGATAGAGCCATTTGCGATTGAAGCTGACATATTTGTAGACCCTCAATAGGCGACTTGGGGCTGGAAAGATAATACACATATATTATCAGTCCATTTAAGCTCCTCGAGCCTCTTGTTTCAAATGTAAGATCTGTATAAGAGTGATGTAGAGTAATCTCTTACGTGGTCTCCTGGTGAACATTTCACAATGCTCGCTGGGTGGCCCGAGCCCAGCTCCGTTGAACGCTCGTACCTCTATGAGGTAGTGGGAGTCAGGTCGCATGTTCTCCAGGCGTGTTTGGTTCATTGTTCTGTGCACAATAACTCGAGAGGCAGCAGCCTCATTATCATCGTACTTCCTCCAGTAACGAATCTGGACACCAAATGAAGAGACATGAGGATTAAAATTCATTATTATTCCCTACTATTCCATTTAGGACTCACCTGGTATCCGTCGACCCAGTTTGGCGGCGCCTGGTAGACCGGTAACCACCAGACCAAAGCTTCTGTAGAGGTGACCTGGCGGGCGTAGACATCTAACGGAGCTTCAGTCGGCGCTGAGAGAGATATTACACGTGTCAAAAGATGCTTTAACTCAGTTAAGAGCAAATCAAATAACATAAAATAAAGGGTTCCAATAATAAAGTAAAATAAAGTTATAAATTATTAATTAAATAAGAGTATTACACTAAGGTTCCAGTAATAAAATAAAATAAATTAAAATATAAATAAACACAATAAAATAAAGGATGAATTACAACAAAGACAATAAAATAAGGTTCCAGTAATAAAATTAAATAAACACACATTAATAAAATAAAATAAAATTAAGGATTAATTAAAACAAGGGCAATAAAATAAGGTCCTAGTAATATTATAAAATAAAATTATAAAAAATAAATGAAAATAGAGACATTAATATAAGGTTCCAGGAATAAAATAAAATAATAATGCATCCAGGGGTAAAGGTCAACGACGGTGGACGACTCCGTAGATCCGTCCAAAAACACAGGAGCTGGGAAAATAACTATATTCTTCATAAGATCATACTCCCAAATGTGACAGGAAAAGTCAAATCTAATTCAGTTAATTATATTCTAAAATACAACAAAAATTTGTACAAAAAAACATTCATTCTGTAATATTTTTCAGACCAGTTGTCCAAAAAAAAACAAAAAAAAAATGGAAATGCTTAAAATATGTGTTTTGTCTCCCTCTAGTAGACTCACAGGTGGATGCGGTTTTCCAGTCCTCAGGATCCAGGGCATAAAAGTCTCGTGTTTGTACAACATGTTGGATAAGAGAACTACCGTGGTCTGTTCCCAGACTCCATTGTAGTTTTACTGACATGTCTCCAATCTCTCTCACACGGACGCCTCCTGGAGGACCAGGCAAACCTGAAGCGAAATCAATACAAATAAACTAAACATCACTGCTTTGTTTTCAATACAGTTATGTTCAGGTTTTTGATTATATGCACATCATTTTAATAAGCTAGGTCCCACAGGGTTCAAATCACCAACCTTTGACAGAAACATCAGCTTCTGCGGTGGCGTTGTCCACTATAGTCTGAGCTGTGCAGGAATAGCGTCCTGCGTGCCTCACCTGAATGTTCTTGATCAGCAGGTCTCCGCTGTTCTCGAGACCCTGCAAAAACACACACATATAATGAAATGACTTGTCTTCCTGAGAACAGCAGGCCTGAGATTCCTGCCTCTGCTCACCATGAGCAGCTCGTAGTGTTCGAAGTCTGTGTAGAAGTGGATGACGTAGGAATCAACAGTCCAGATGAAGGTGATGTCCAGGCTGGGGTCGAACGATGCAGAGCACTGGAGAATCGTGGTGTCTCCTACAACCGCCCCAGTGTCTGATGGAGCCACGGTGATTTTGGTGGCCTCTGAGAAAATGAAACGGACACAAATGCATATACCTCATATTACCTCATTTTTACTGAGAGGTTACAAGGAATATCTATAAAAAATGAAAAAGACCCATTACAAAATCTACGATAAACACACATACACACAAATTCATATCAATTTTAATCTGAAATTTGTTGATGTTGATAAAAAAAGTCAATAATTAAAATTACCCATATGCACTATTCAGCCCATTAATAATTGTATTTACAAGATAATGTAAATTCATTTTAGCTGTACTTAATGAATCAATTATGGTCAAATAAAATTAAATAGCTACACTTCAGTGGACATATTTCTATTAATTATTATACATTAATAAAATAAAATAAAAAGTTGGTATTGTCTGGCCAAGAAAGCACAGCAGCGTCTCTACTTCCTCCGCAAACTGAGAAGAGCCAGAGCCCCGGCCCCCATCATGTTCACCTTCTACAGAGGCACCATCGAGAGCATCCTGACCAGCTGCATCACTGTGTGGTATGGCGCCTGCAACGCGTCCTGCCGCAAGACACTTCAACGCATAGTGAGAGCAGCTGAGAAGATCGTTGGTGCCTCTCTCCCCTCCCTCCAGGACATTTACAATACCCGTCTCACCCGAAAAGCCCTCTGCATTGCAGGTGATCCCACCCACCCGACACACAGCTTCTTCAGTCTGCTGCCATCAGGGAGGAGACTGCGGAGTCTCCAGGCCAGGACCAGCAGACTGAAGGACAGCTTCATCCATCAAGCTGTCAGGAAGCTGAACTCCCTCCCGACCTTGCCCCCCCTCCCCTCTTTTGCCCCACGCACCACTGAACTCTGACCCTCTAACGGACTCTCCCACTCCCCCCTCCCAAATACACACCCTCTGCATTGCAGGTGATCCCACCCACCCGACACACAACTTCTTCAGTCTGCTGCTATCAGGGAGGAGACTGCGGAGTCTCCAGGCCAGGACCCGCAGACTGAAGGACAGCTTCATCCATCAGGCTGTCAGGAAGCTGAACTCCCTCTCGACCATGCCCCCCTCCCCTTTTGCCCCACGCACCACTGAACTCTGACCCTCTGACGGACTCTCCCACTCCCCCCTCCCAAATACACACACACACACTGGGCCAAGCTCTTTTTGCACTACAAATCATTATATCTGCACTGTTATTTACTTCACTGGTTTGCACTCTATCTGCCATGTGCCTTGTGCTGCTTTATATATTTTTTTATATTTTAGCTTATTTGTATAGTTGTATTTTATATTTAATCTGTATCTATCTGTATTTATGTTCTACTGTTAGTGTTATCTGTATGCACCAAGGGTCTGAGAGTAACGCAATTTCAATTCTCTGTGTGTATGTGCTGTACATGTGGAAGAATTGACAATAAAGCAGACTTGACTTGACTTGACTTGACTTGTCTAAACTGGTATAAATAAAACAAAATAATACAAAGGTGGTGTTGTCTGAACTGTTATAAATAATTTAAAACAAAATAAAACAAAGCTGGTATTGACTAAACTGGCATAAATAAAATAAAGTAAAATAATACAAAGGTTGTATTGTCTGAACTGTCATAAATAATTTAAAACAAAATAAAACAAAGTTGATATTGTCTAAACTGGCATAAATAATTTTAAATAAAATAAAATAAGTTGGTATTGTCTAAACTTGAATAAAATAAAATGAAATAAAATAAAATAAAATAAAATAAGATGGTATTGTCTGAACTGGCATAAATTATTAAAAACAAAAAAAAACAAAGCTGGTATTGTCTAAAGTTAAACTGACCTAAATAAACTAAAATAAACTAAAAAGATAGTATTGTCTAAACTGGCATAAATAATTTTAAATAAAATAAGTTGGTATTGTCTAAACTGGTATAAAATAAAATAAAATAATTGCTATTGTCTAAACTGACAATCGTTATAGGTGACGAAATGTGAATTTTGTCTGACCGGTGATAGTGAGGGTCCCTGTGCTGTTGGATTTGCCGCGGTCATTCTCTGCATAGCATGTGTACGAGCCCTCGTCACTTTTTGACAAGTTCAGAATCTCCAGACTTCCATCATCCCAAATTAACATCCTAAAAAATAAGGACGAAGAGAGAAGCGGATGAAGATAACTGTAGCTAAGCTTCTGTCTCTGCCACAACATTATGGTTCACCTGTAAGTAAATGCAAGCGTTTAGGATCGACTGACTAACCTTGAAGAGTTGGTCAGCAGCTCTGAGCCTCGTTTCCAGATGAACTTGGGTTTAGGAGCAGCACGGGGTTTGCACTCTATAACCACACGTCCGTTTTCAGCCCCGAGCAGAACCTTCTTCACTGGATTATAAATGAATGTTGGCGCACAGGCTGTGAAGAGACATTTGGAGACACTCAACCTTCTAATAATTATGTACCTTTTTTGAAGACACTTCCAGTTCTTTTTTTACTATGTAAGCTATACTTAAAAGCGTAAAGACGCTATTAAAAGCTCACAGACGACGCGAAGCTCGGCGCTGGCATAGATGGTGCCCCATTCATTCTCAGCAATACACTGATACATCCCCGAATCCTCAAACGTGAGACTGGAGAACTTCAGCTCCCCTTTGCCGTACTAAAAAAGAGGAAGAATGCAGCAAAACACACATGATTACTTGATATGAAACAATCTGAGGTTCTCTCATATGGGTTTTCCTCAACAAATAAAACAGTATTAACCGAATAGCCGTCCTTCAGCCAGCGAATCCATGGTAAAGGTTTCCCCACAGCAACACATCTGAGAGTGAGTTCACTTCCAACATCTTTCTCCGTGTCATTGATGTGCTCTGCCCACTCTGGAGCACCTGAGGACACAATCACACAGACACAATCGCTGCGTTTGAAATCCAATACTGTCTAAGACGTTCTATACAGTATGAACATGAACTACGTCCGCCATGTTGTTACTGTCACTACTACTCTATTAGTATACTGTTTTTTGCATACTATATAGTAGGGAAGTGTTTGATTTTGGATACAGCTATTTTTTTTAAATAAAGAAATTCATATTTTTATTCAGTAAGGATGCATTAAATGGATCAAAAGTGACAGTAAAGATATATAATGTAACAAAAGATAAAATAAATACTGTTCTTTTGAACGTTCCATTCATCAGAGGATCCTATAAAAAAATGGATCACAGTTCCCACAAACATTTGAAACAGCTTAACTGTTTTCAACATTGATAATGATGATAAGAAATGTTTATTGAGCACCAAATCAGCATATTAGAATCATTTCTGATGGATCGTGGGACACTAAAAATAACAACGGAGTAATGGCTGCTGAAAATTCAGCTTTACCATCAGAAGAATAATTCAAATTTAAAATATATTCATTTAAAAAAACTGTTTTACTGTTTTTACAGTATTTTTTATCAAATAAATGCCGCCTAGGTGAGCATATAAGAGATTTCTTTCATAAAATAAAACAAAACATTTTTACCGATCGCATATAATATAAAATAAAAGCTTGCTGATTTGAAGTTTGAAAATGATCAAAATTCATATTTTAGTTTTAGCATAGCATTTAATTTTTAAGTTTACTACCAAATAATTATAAACTTATTTTAACTTATTATAAAATTATAAACTCCCTTTTTTATTTTTAAATATAATAGTATTATCACACTTTATTTTTTGTTTATTATTTTATAAAAAAAAAAAAGAAAGTAAAATAAAGTGCAATAATATTATTATCACTAGTTATATTTAATGGGTCCAAACCAAATCTCCAGGTGTTCTTATGAGAAACATATTGAACCCCTGATAATATATAATATAATATAATATACTTTTTCTTATTAGTTATTATAAGCCATATATAAACAGAACTAAACCAGTGTCTGTCTTTTAAACTTTGAGTTTGTTTTACCTTCCACATAGAGCCACTGTCGATACCAGTCCATCCCTTTAACGTTGAGCGTCTCACACTCGTAGCTCCCTTCATCCTCGTACTGAACGTTAATCAGGTGCAGTAAAGCTCCATTCATGCTGACCTCATAGTTGGGCGGGAGATCAGCGTCTAACTTCCTCCAGCGGATGTGTGGCAGCGGACTGAAAGGTAAACATTGAATTCATATGGTTAAAAACAAACAAAAATAAGTCAAACAAAAATAAGTCAAGAACAAATCAATTATGATTTACTAACAAAGTCGTATTACTATGTTTATTAGACATGTACCATGATTATAACAACATATTCTTTGAAATACTTCAAGGTAGCCTGTTAAGACCATGGCAAATGAATACTGCATTCCTTCAGTGCAACTGTATTTTATACTGTATATGAAAGTACCATGGTATCATAATGGTATGAGTAGCATGCAGATTATATGGATCTGCATTTGTCGACTCACTTTCCAAGGGCAAAGCACTCCAGAGTGATGTTCTGATGCACCAAAGCATAAGTCTTGGGGAATTTCACACGGATATCAGCAGGATAGCGCTTCACCTCCTCTGTGTGAAGGGCAGAGATCATTAATTAACCTTTAAAAACAACAGTGGTCTCAGTAAGGCAATTATGAAGACAGATCTTGGCATTGTGGGTAATGTGACAGCACTCACTCTCTATTTGTGGAATCAGAGGAATCGGCATGCTGAAAACACTCTTGCCGATGGTGGGGCTTGACACAAAGCAAGAATAATTCCCAACATCAGATGCCTCGACTTTAGCGATGTACATATTCCCAGTGGTCTGAGACACGAAACGCCTCTGGTCTGGGATGATGAAGTTGGGGAAGTCGTTGTAGATCCAGCGGAACAACACCTCACCTGAGAGACAAACAAAACAACTGACAGAAATGAGATTTCAGTTGCTGGAAGGAAAGTGGACGTGTGCATAAATCACCTCTATGATTGTTAGGTATAATGCACTCTCAAAAAAAAAAAAAGGTACAAAAGCTGTCATTGGGACGATACCTTTTAGTACCTTAAAGGTACATATTTGGACCTTTTGAAAAGATACCGCCCCAATGACATGCTTTGTACCTTTTTTCCCTGAGAGTATGGTATTTGTGTATGTTGTTAAAGTAATTTGGTAACACTTTACAATAAGGTTTAATTAGTTAACATTGGTTAAATGCATTGACTAACATTATATAACAATGGAAAATGCAAGTGTATTTATTAGTAGTATAGTATTTATTAATCTTTATTAACATTAGTTAATCAAAATACAACTGTGCATTGTTAGTTCAAGTTAGCTCAGGTTCATTAAATAATATCAACAGATACAACTTTTGATTTGAATAATGTATTAGTAAATGCTAAAATTAACATGAAGATTAATAAATGCGTTTGTTAATTTTTGCTTGTTAGTTCATGTTAACTAATATAGATACATAATGTTAGCGTTAAAGGGTTAACACTAATTATATCTCAAATATTCTTTATTAAATATGGTGGTGTTATTATTATTATTAAATTATTAAATCTGAATCAGATTTTTAAGAGTAACTCTAGAAACTGACCATTTTTATTTAGATTTACTCACTTTATTGAATATTATGTCAAAAAGTTATATTTTTTGAAATGATTTACATTTATATGATTACTTATTGCATTTTAATGTACATTTTACTTTTTTATTTAATGTAAAATTGTATCCAAAATCTTAACCGTAAGTAAATCTTTATTTGAGACAAACGTTTTTTTCTCTCTCTCTCTCGCTCTGCTTTTTATCATGGTGGCACAAAAAAGGTTGCGTGTGTGTACTATGGCACTGCTAATCAAAGATTTAAAAACGAAAGTGATCGCATCTTACTTGGATAGCGAGAGGGAGGAGAACACAGCAGAACCGCTCCCTGTCCTTCCTTAACATGCACCGGCTCTCTCTCATCTGTAGGGAACTGGTTGAGGTCTACAGCCAGAAAAAGAGCAACAAAAAAAAACTGAGGAGAGAATATGACGAAACAAACATCTGGAAACAGTTTATATTCTTTACAAACATAAGAAAGCCTACTGTATCTGTCACATACATCCAAATTTGACGGTAGCCTCTTTGCTGATGACAGTGCCATACACGTTCTTAGCCACGCACACATATTTCCCAGCATGCTTGCCCTTGTCTGGGTTGGTGATGACCAGGTTTCCTCCCACCAGGCTAAAGTGCACATCAGGCTGTTCCATCAGTTTAATTTCCCAGTTGTTTAACCACCATCTGTGAAATACAGTGTTTTATTAATGGCCTTCTGACTGATTTTCTCAAAGATTCTTCTTGCAAGTGCAAACAATCTAGTAAACACCTCCCTGCAATTCCCAGAGGTAATGACAAACAAAGTGTAGGATCAGAAGTGAAAACAAATGTACTTGATAATGGCTGGAGGATTGGCCCGTGCCCTGCAGTTCATGGAGATTTTGTTCTCTGGTGAATCCTCCGCATACACTGTGTCCAAGGGCTCCTCCTCAAATATGGGCCCAAAGCCTGTGGCCTCCTCTGATGGACATGACATGAGATGAGCCAGCATTATATTCAATATACAAAAAACAACCCAACAATTCAATTGTGGTAAAATATACTGAGGTGAAGAACATCAATACTTCATTTCACGTATTTACTTGTAGGTAAAAGTTAAAGTCTTACTGTCAAAAATTCTGGGTTCAAATATCCTGGGTTTAATTGCAGCTGAAAAAACAAAACAAAAACAAAACATTTCAGAACAACTTTAATTTACTTGGACAGCACTTTGTATCGTTTGTTTTAGCAGAATTTTTTTTACATTTGGTATTAAATAAATTTAGTCATACAAATAAAAATACATAATTTAAAGGAATAGTTCAGCCAAAAATGAAAAGTCGCTTAATATTACCAACCCTCAGGCTTCCCGAGATGTAGAAGTTAAGATTTGTTTGTTTATCAGAACAGATTTGGAGAAATGTAGCATTATATCACTTGCTCACCAATGCATCCTCTGTAGTGAATGGGTGCCGTCAGAATGAGACTGCAAACAGCTGATAAAAGCATCACAATAATTCACAAGTAATCCAATTTCAGTACATCAATTAATGTCTTCTGAAGCAAAAAGCTGTGTTTGTAAGAAACAAATCCATCATTACAGCATTTTAAATTTAAACCATTGCTTCTGGCCAAGTCCGTAATCCATAATAATGCTTTCTCCGTTGTCCTCTCACATCAAAATCCACCAACATGTTTGTTTAGAATTGTTTAGGACTGTTTTCACTTGATCTGTGCTTATTTCTCTCCTGATTCAGACGAGACAACTTTTTCACCGGATAAACCAATATTATAGATAGAGGACTCATATTTTAGTCGGAAGCGACAATTTGAATTTAAAAAATGGCTTAATGATGGATCTATTTATTACAAACATGCAGCTTTTCACTTCACAAGGTATTATTTGAATGTCGTGTTATAGATTATTGTGATGTTTTTATCAGCTGTTTGGACTCTCATTCTGACGGCACCCATTCACTGCAGAGGATCCATTGCTGAGCAAGTAATGTATTGCTAAATTTCTCCAAATCTGCTTCAATGAATAAACAACTTCATCTACATCTTGCATGGCCTGAGGGAGAGTAGTACACTGAAACAAACAGTGAAAAAAAAAATGTCAACATAATTTTGTATGTTTGTATGTGGAAGTATCCTAACCCAAACTCTAATTTTTAGAGTTAAAAAAACATTGTCTACTATATTTAATATAATTTTTTAATATCTGGACAATAGGAATTCAGCTAAAATGTTGGAATAATTTGGAATAATTTTGTAACTAAAATTTAGCCACACACACACACACATTCAGTTCCTCACCGGCCAATAAGAAGAAGTAAGAGAGCACACACAGAAGCATGGCTGGGGTCACCATCTTGATCTGACAGTTAAAAACCAAGCCTGAGAAAGAGAAAAACAGAAAGAACTTGTGTGGGTGAAATGCTGTATAGCTGCAGTGTGTTGAAAGCTACTGAAAGCTGCATTGTCTCACTCTGATGTGCAGACCATAGCAGACTGTGTCTAAAATGGAAACATTAACAATTTATTGCATCCTACCCATATTAAAAGTGAATCAGCAATCCATACCTTCTCTCTCACTCACACACACACACAGATGCACATATGTAGACATGCATGTTTACACCCACAAGTTCAGTCATGACTGCAGATGTAACACATAAAGGAAAGGTAAATCTGAATTTTAGCATAAACACATACACAGTTGCTACATGCAATCATGCTGCAGCATGTTTCTTATTTGCTGCCACTGCACTTGTATAGGCTACATGCTTGCAGAGGGTGAGCAAGGACATTTTTATCTGCCACCTAAGATATGTCAAATTATCATGCATCTATAGAACATGTTTGGCCATCCATCTCTCTAAATAATTGTTTTTAGAAGTTATGCACATGGGGTCCACTTCTATGCATGGTATTTTCACCAATCTCGTATAATCTCATTGCATCCTCTGATCTGCTGTCTGCTCTTGTCCTGCACACTCGGATTTAGGTCACTGCATGTCTACTGTAAACTCATACTAAATCTAACAGATCTGAATGATCTTCAAACACACTGGAATAATTTAATTTTAATTTAAGAGAGCAATAAAAATAGCTGGATTTCACTGTCCTTTTCCTCTTTTGTTTTTTAAATATTATAATTCGAGTTTGGTGTGATCATAACATATTTAGTGTTTTGTGGTAATAACTGCGTCATTGGTGATAACTCTTTAGCGCCACCCCCCGACACAATACTGTCATTACAATCTCTATCCTTTTTGTTGCCAGGAAACCGAGGACTAACTTCTGTCCCGTTTCAACTTTAGGCAAGTAAATATCATATAATTAACTCGCATCACAGCTTCTTTCAGCATAACAATTTACAAATGTATCGGTATGTTAAAAATAGCCTACCTTATATCATGTAATTTGTATGAATTCACACTAATGTATTATTATTTTTAAATAATACCTGTAATATGTATTCTAATTTCATTATGCATTTTTTTTTATTAAAGGGATGACATTAACTATGACCGGACTCGTCCACCCTGTTCTTCTGCATTGCGGTATATTCCCAAACTGCGCGGAACACCTTCATCCGGACTTTAGCACGCAGAATAAACTCTTGAAGGTCACAGACAGATCGTATTCTCACCAGAAACCCTCAAAGCTTCACATATCATCATATGAGCAGCAAACTTACCGGAAGAATGCGTTAAATCCTTCGTCAAACCCACAGACCTGCATCAGAAGCACCGCGTCGCCCCGCAGCCCAGCGCGCCTCCAGCCTGCTATTGGATGAGAGCGGAAGCTGCGCATGCCAGGATGCCAGAACACAGAGGGATGCTGTCTCAGTCCATGTGCTGCTGCAGTGGATCTCAAACTAGTCAAGGTGATTTTAAGGCACTTGTGAAAATGTATATGGACCAGCACGTGATTTTTGGTGATTTAAGGTAATTAAGGCTTATGCACACACATCTGTTCAAATCCACTGGATTAAATTCCTACACTGGCCGGGGAGGGAAAGAAATTGATTTTGTTGTAGTTGTTTGTTTGTATGGATAAACAGTGCAGGGAGGAAATTGTGGCACTCCAGAATGTATATAATTATTTTTTCTATTTTATTTTTTATATAGGCTTATATATATATTGTGTATGCATTTTATTATTCTTATTTTTTCCAAGACTCTCCAAATAAGTGAATCAGTTCAATCGGATAAAAAGGCCAAAATGACTTGGGTGATTGCTTAAGGTTTTATTCTAGCGCTTATAACATTTAAGGGACAGTGGGGTAAGATGTATAGAGGGCATTTGCTGCCAATTTTAAATAAATGAATTTAATTATAAAAATGAAAATGAAAACCAGATTAACAAATTCATTATAAAAAGGAAACTGTCAAGTTATCATTTGGGGGTAATTTTCCATTTTAAATAAAAATATGAACATAAATTGGTTCCATTATCTACATTTTGCTGCACATCATTATCATTAATAATAAATAAAATTATATATACATACAATATACCAGCAATGAGAAGGTTTAGTATTATAAAAAATAAATATATATATATATATATATAAACAAAACAAAAAGCTTCAAATGCTTCAAAAAAAAGTTTTAGCAACAAAAAATAATATTTTCTATTAATTTAAATTAATGTTCTTTGATTAAGATTGAGTATACGGAATAAAATCAAAAACAGACAGATGGTAGTGAAATCCGGAAACCAACATTTATTTGAATCCTTTTATATACAAAATATTTTTTTTTGCGATTATATTATAGAGTAAACCATTTCACAGCCTTTCATGCTTTATTTTCCATGTAGCTTTAACATTAACCAGAATATTATTTCACACACTACGTTTCATTCGTCTTTGCCCCCTCCGACAAAAACACTTCAAAAGGTTCTGCACCTATAGCAGTGCAATCCGGCCTCCTTCTTTGGGGATGCGTCCATTTTCTTATTTTCCCTACAGAAAAAAAAGTCATAAACTACCTGGCCAAATAGAAAAGAAAACAACAGTGCCATTAAAAGAGTAAGAGCTGATGTGTGTGTGAATTCAGGTGGAACACTGTGCGGTTTTCTGCAGCGCTACCTTACGCATACTCAATCATCGGTTGATCTGTTCTTCAGACTCAGGAAATAGGGTTGTCATCACTTTTCAAGTGGGGTTTTTTTCATCCGAAGTGACTTATAGTACACAAATTGCTGGGACAGTTCCCTTAGAGCACTCTGGGATATACTGTCATGCTCAAGGGCTCAGTTATGATCGGATATCTCAGCAGCTTTATCATTCACGGGCCGCCCCAGCATCCTTTAATGTGTCTAAAACAACATTTTGGCTAGATATTTACAAAGCAAATGTCAGATCTATACATTAAAAAGCAGACAATTCCAAACTAAAAAACTTGATGCAAGTTATGACAAGCTAAATCATGAAAATCTAGGGCCTTGCCAGAAAAAAAAAAGGCTCGCCCCATATATACAGTGGACAGACATAAACACACATTCACACACATCCATTCCAAAAGCACACATATATTCATGCATGCCTGCATAAACCGCACACACTCAAGCCGTATTTGACGACAGCACCCCTGTCAACTGTGTGTTTAGTGAAGCCCTGGTTTCACTACACTCGACAGCTCGTAATACTTCATAACATGCAGTAACATGATTTAAAAAAACGCTTACATGTGAGAATGTGTATATTTCTGCCTACTGGTATCGCATATGTTGGGGTCTTCCCAAGGACAAGCCACTGCAAATACCACAGTTGGTCATTTCCCTTGCCGTTATGAGTTGCCATAAATGTGCAACCGCACACACTCAAGCCGTATTTGACGACAGCACCCCTGTCAACTGTGTGTTTAGTGAAGCCCTGGTTTCACTACACTCAACAGCTCGTAATACTTCATAACATGCAGTAACATGATTTAAAAAACGCTTACATGTGAGAATGTGTATATTTCTGCCTACTGGTATCGCATATGTTGAGGTCTTCCCAAGGACAAGCCACTGCAAATACCACAGTTGGTCATTTCCCTTGCCGTTATGAGTTGCCATAAATGTGTCAAATCTGACCAATCAACAGCAGTTCACTCTTTACAGAAAAGTGGCAGTATTTTTAGCTGTCGATAGGGGGAATGAGATGCCCCTCACCCCAATTTGAGGTGACTTCTGTGGCGGCTGTGTAGGGGACCATTTCCTTGAGTCTTGCGGTTTTTGCTCAGCCCAGGACTTCGATGTCACTTGCAGTACTGATATAAAAATGGGCTGCGCTCAAAGCGATGAGAGGGAATCTCGTTTTTGAGTATAGAATAATGTTTTCTACCAAGGCACTACGGAACCGTGCTGAGGGGCCTTCGATGCATCCCATACTGTACAACCAAACCAAGAGCAGCGTGAATTCTGGCAGCCAAAGTGGGGTCACGGGTGGCTACATGGCTGACTGGCGGGCTTTCCTTCACAATAACACTTCTGGATGAAGTGAACCTTAACTAGTCTATCGATGACTTTTCTTCAGGGATAAAACATTGAAAAATGTTGTCGTAAAGTAAATAGAATAAACACAGGGCGCAAAATGAACAACAAGAGAACTGTGAAAAGGATAAAACCACGTCTGTGTAGAGTGCTTGTGTGTTAAAAACATGCTACCTCACATCCCTGATAACCAGTTTTTAAATTCTGTGGATTTTTTTTTTGTATATTCAAAACTTCTGATGCCTAAGAACAGCTTTTACACGTATTACATACTTCACAACAATGTCCACAAAGACATTGGTGCCTGAAATGTGCATAATACCGATTTGAACACTGACGACAGAATGCAACAGGCATTAGCTGTGAAGCAAAAGTGAGTATCATATAGTCAGATGAGGTTCACGGTCTCCACAACGCTGGCTAAAGGTGCGGTCACATTAGCGAAGTTTTGCGCGAAAAAAAGTCCATTGTATATTGTCAATAGTGTAGCCATGAATGAGGCACTGTTCACACAGAAGTCACTTTGAATCCGTGAAAACTTGAACCTGTTTACTAATGGAAAATCGCACCGATTCCTACCGAAACGACTGGATTTTGCTTGTGAAAATTTGCAGAATAACTGTAAATGTGACCGCACCTTAATGCTGAGGATGTGACGTCAATTACTGATTCCATGCGAGTCCAAGGGACAAGATGGTGTGATAAAATGCCATCTGACGTAAACGGGGCCATGTTAATAAAATATATGTCAATTTATATATATCAATATATATGTATGCTCGCTGTGAGATAATACACTTAATATGTCTCAATGTCACGTGACTCTCATTCCGACCAATCGCGGTGAAGCTTGGACTGGCCCTCATCTCGCATTCTCACTGTCTTTCATTAGGGGCGTTTGTTTTATTTCTTTTGCTGTGATGTTAGGGGGTCACAGTGCAATAGAGACTGTTCTCCATATGATGGTGTGACAAGGAGGTGGGGTGTTGGATGGGTCAAAGGTCAGTTACACAAAGGAGTTCATGGCATTGACCGGAGAAGGAGCCTCCGAACTCTCGTTGCCCTCCGCCGTGTCTTTTTCCTTCTTCCCACTGTACTGGCCGATGAATGAGCCATCCTCATTGAACTGGCCGTCTCCTCCCTCGCCGTAATCCACCAGGCTGTCGTCACTGTCGTCCTTCTTGACCGTCCCATTGGATGGGGTCCGGCTGCCTTTCAAGGGCTTGTGATCCTCCGTGTCACTGATGTAAAGAGTAGAGACAAGGGACAAAGGGAGGGGAGGATATTACAATAGCACAATTTAAACCATCTAAACGAGATAGTGGAGATCGTCCATTTCCAACATGCTGTTTAGTGCAGGTATTTTCACAATGCGTCTCTCTTATATCCGGAAGGCATGTTCATAACTGGTCATAACGTGCATTCGGAAGGGTAAATTTGGCCACATTCATTATAATGCATAAACCACTTCTCTCAAAACTGGAAAAACCATAAAATAACCATTGAGGATTTCTAAACAAATGCAGCAAAATATAAATAAAACAAAGTCAAATCACAATATGCGATCCAAAAATACAAATAACTATGCAAAATTCTATTTTTTTTTTTTTCGGATTTAAAAGTTTAGTCAAGGTTGGGTTTGGGTTGACCGTAAAATTTACAGCCATCTGTTTGATTTTCTACTGTAACTAGAAGATGAATAATGGAGGATTTTATGCATGCAAGACTTGCAACGCCCCTCTTACCTTTCAGTAGATCTGAATCCCCCCAAAATTAAAACACACAGGAGGAACAAATAAGACAGACTGACATGGTTGACAATGAGGTTATCACTTTACAGTAAAGAAAAAATGTATGCAGAGACATACTACACAACAAATGATGGACTTCATGAACAGGACATGTGAAATGTTAATACAAGACAACAAAACAAACATGGCTGATGGCTGCTGTCAATTGTGATTCTGATTTGGCACTTTCAGAAGCTGAAATTGAATTTGAAAGATTTCAAATATTCCAAGGTACATTATATATAATTTAATTAATATTTAATATATAATATTTCTATACTGAATTTATGTCCTGAATTAGCTTTCGTGAGTTGAGACCATCCAGTTCCAATGATATTTACTCCATTGCTTCAGCAATAATAATGACAATATGACCAAACATGTTTAAAAAAAATACACACAAATATAAAACATACATTTAAAAAAATATGATAATAAATATTACAATAAAGATTAAGGATGACACAAAACAAAGGATGAAAAATAACAAATCACAGCAATAAATCCATCATTAACGTAAATGAGGAAGGCAATTGATTTGACACTCGAAATGTGGTAAATGAATGAAAATGTAAAAAATGTGTGAA